ATGTATATATACATATATATATATATAAATAAATACAGAGAGAGAGAGAGAGAGTAACAATTATTTTTATTACTTTGCTGTTGTTGTTTTGAGACAGGATCTTGCTGTGTAGTTTGGGCTGGCCTTGAACTCACTATGTAGCCCGGGCTGGCCTCAAACTCATGGCAATATTCCTACCTCAACCTCCCAAGTACTAGGATTATAGGAGTGTACTACCATACCTGGCTACTTTTATTACTATAAAACAATTTTAATGCTGGGCATTGTGGCACACGCCTATAATCCCAGCACTCGGGAGGCTGAGGCAGGAGGATTGTTGTAAGTTCGAGACCAGCCTGGGTTACAAAGTGAGCTCAAGGCCCGTCTGAACTCCACAGTGAGACCCTGTCTCAAAAAGACAGAATAAAATAAAATAAAATAAATTAAATACTAAGCAAGATGCTAATGGTACTTACAACAACATAGAATTTTAGTATATATACTAAGTATTAAAAGAAAACCCTTAGATATTTATTTAGCCAGCACACACATATAGAATAGGTCTGTGTATCAGGTACTATGCTGGATACCTTCTCCAGTACAAGTAGTAATTAGACAAACAATTCCATGACAGCTACTATTTCTTGCCACACGTACCCTTCCAATAAACATGTTAAAAACTTGTTCCAGGAGTAGGTAAGTAACACATAATGAAGCATAAGCATAAGCAAACGCTATTAAATTGTAGGCCTCAGGGAAAGGTTCAGCTATATAGATGAGCCAATATATTTGATTAAAGTTCAGTTTGTAAGAGATAGAACATTAAGAGGGGGTTATAGACCATAAACACAGGCAAGTTCCCCCCTGGCTTGAATCACCAGTGGCACATGTGTGACTGTCCCATCGAGCAGCTGATGGGTCTGTCCCATGCCACCTGATGGGATGGTCATGCATATGCCATCAGTGGTTCAGAGCTACCTGGCAGTGAGACATATGAATTATGGGCCCATTTTGAATGTGTTAAGCATTATCAATCATTGAAGGCTAAATTCCTTCAGAGCTATTCTAACCATCAACAAAAGAGGACAGAGTAGGCTCTGGGGGAAGATGAAACAGAAATTAGCAAGGCTGTAAGAGACTAGGATCAGGGACCGGTATAGTGTTTTTTCCCTGAATGTGGAATCCAGTGGGTGGGGTATATGACATAAAAGTAAAAGGGAGATTATTTACTAGACAAGAAGGGGCTGGGGCAAGGAGAGGGGAGGAAGGGAGAATAATGGATGGATATGGTCTAAGTATGTCATACGCATGTATAAAAATGTCACAATGAGATCCAATATTTTGTATATTAAAAAGTATATATTGGAAAAATAACAATTATTATTTCTTCTTAATCTGAACTAAACATCTTTTTTTTTTTTTTTTGTCTTTTTGAGACAAGGTCTTACTATGAAGTTCTTACTATGCTAACCTTGAGCTAACTTTGTAGCCCGGGCTGGTCTCAAACTCACAACAAATACTCTGGTTTCTCTTCAGATTGTAGAAATCTTTCCCCTTGAACTCACAATGATCCTCCTGCCTCAGCCTCCCAAGTGCCGGGATTACAGGCATATGCCACCACGACCAGCTGAACTAAACATCTTGCATGGAACTAAATACCTTCATACAAAGATGTAAATACTTCAACTTCCTCTAGCAGCTAGGGCTAATGAAATGGCACAGTCTTGTTCTCAAGTACACCTGCCTCAAAGTGAATTTAATATCATCTCTAAATATTTGATATATTTAAAGCATTATTTTATTGGCAGACAGTTGCATTTATTATAAAACCAGTGAGACATATGAATTATGGGCCACAGAAACAAGTTAATGTCAGAGAAGGAAGCTACTGATAAATAATACAGCATGCAAATAAGTCTTATTGAAATTCTAAGCACCTCTTATAGGCTCAAATAACACTGAAAGAAAGATTAGTCTTTCATCTCCTTTGTCTTACTCTTTCTAATTTCAATTTAGCAATGGCAGGTAATTCTCAGACATAAAAAACCATGAAGATAATAAGCTAAAGCAAAATTTCTCTATAATTCTCCCAACTGTCTCAGTAAAGATTTTAAAGTTTCTTCTGTTGACAGATCTCAATTATAGGCTTTGTCCGTATTTTTCAACAGATCACTCAACCTGAAGAACATTCATCTATAAGGTCATTTCCATTAGCGCGGAACTGGTCAGCATCACGCTTTCCAAGCCACACACACTTTGCAATCAGTTCTTCACTTCAGAAAAGCAAGAGTATTTTCCTGAACACTGCTGTAATTTCTCAAGAGTTTGTACTTTTGTGACAAAGACGGAGCACACTGAAGAAGTGGTTTAATTTCCAGTAAATCAAATCCAGCTACAGTGTAAACACCAATTTCTCCACTGATTCTCTGAACTCTGAAGGAGTCAAAATCAGAATGCATGAATTACGCCTGATTTTCACTAGGTCTACCACCAAACTTGAAAACTCTGAATACTGAACACGCCACAGCATTTTCTGCTTGTGCTGGCTTTTCAAAGATGAATAGAAAAGAGAAAGGAAAATGCTTAATAATCAACTTTTAACCAATATTTTATTATTACTCCCCCATCTCTCACCTAAAATTATGTTAATATTATTGGTTCACAGGGTTAATAATTTTAATTAGAATACATATGAAGACAAGGATACAAAGTATTTCGTAACTGTCAGTGAACAAGATCCAGATTTGAAGTTGTACCATCACTGCCTAGTGAACTGGAGCATAAGAATGTCCAAACCAATGAATAATAGTATATTTAATAATTTTTTGTTTTGTTTTTTGAGACAGGGTCTTGTGATGTAGTTCAGACTGGCCTTGAACCATGTACCTGAGGCTGGCCTTGAACTTGTGGGGATCCTCCTATCTCAGCCTTGTGAATGCTGGAATCACAGGCATATGCCACAACACCTGGCCTTCTAGATAAATCTTGATAACCTTTTAAAATACCTACTTATGGGGAAAAAAAATTTGACTGCCAGATTTAATTCCATCAGATAACAACGCAGATGGTTAGTGCAGAGAATTAAGCCATTAACAGCCGTGTGTGCATTCTCACTCCGTTATTATTAATCTACCTTAAGGATCATGGGTTCTGTAGAAATTATAACCATCTCTTCATACTGCCTAGAATGAATCTAAGATTATTATTAATGAGCCATTATCTACTAAATATTTCATATTCTGCTTAGCACAGATTCTCCTGCTCAAACTTCTTCAAGTTAATTGGTCAAAGCCAATCAGAGAAATGAGATATAAATGACAGAAACTGTAAATTAGAATGAAGGAAGGGTACAAATAGATGAATTCTGAACTACAAGAAACCACACCTGTTTCAAAATACATTAATTAAAAACACATTTCCCTCACTTAATTAGTACAAGCAACAGAAAAAAAGACATCAACAGCAACAAGGTCTATTCCCAATTTAGGATATCACAAACAAAGGCAAATCTTAGGTTTGCAAAATTTTTAAATTTTGGATAAGATGAAAAAATCCAACATATTTTACATTTTTGTTCTACTTCCTTGCCACAATACTCAATATACACTAAATATATTTATAGCAATTATCATTACAACCTTATGATCACTATTAGGCAATTTATATTCTGGGTTGGGAAATGGCCAAATAAGTAAGATAAATAAATTACATAGAATGTGAAACAGTGCTAAGTTCCAATGAGGAAAAAATACAGCAAGAAAAGAGTTTAAGAGGTGTGTATGTGTAAAAGTGTATGAAACAGAAGAAAAGATGTTTATTTAAGAAGGCCCATTATCCAGATCACGTACAGAGAAGCATCAGAAATTCATGCCACTATTGCAAGCACAAAATGTTCCTGCTACGTTGGTTGTTTCTATTTAGAAAAATCAAACTCCCATAAAGTTTCAATGAGTTAACTCTATTCAGTGGAGGAAACTGTACTACATATCATGATTTCTTTAAAAAGACAGCTTTCTTAATTTTATTTTTAGGGAAGATAAATCAGAAGAAAAAGAATGATTTGCTATAGTTGTGGAATTTCAGACATCATAGTAGAGCTTGTAAGGTATTCTGGTGTTCCAAGGTCAAGCCACCAGGGCAGTGCTCGTATTACCCAAAATGATGGTGATTTCGTGAACAACACTGAGTACACTGACTTCAAATGAAAAGAGTTCATATGAAATATGACAGTCGTGTATCACCCGAGTGACGCCTTCTACACTGTTCTGGCTGGTTTTCTGTGGCCCTGCTGTTTAACTGATGAATAAACATGCTACTGCACATTCCCTAGTCTTAAACCACTCGCTCCCAAAGCTTTCGATGCTTTAGGGCACTGTATGTGTCAACTATTGAGTTTTGTGTCCCCAGAAGTGTTTTCCCAGGATCCAAAAATGAATATTCAACACAAGTAGGAAGTCAGGTATGGAGGCTCACACCTGTAATCCCAGCACTCAGGAGGCTGAGGCAAGAGGATCACTGTGAGTTTGAGGTGAACCTGGGCTCCACAGTGAATTCAAGGTCAGCCTGCACTACACAGTAAGACCAAACAATCATACATACACACACAAACACAAACACATACACACATCTATGCAGGTATGCACACACGCATACAAAGTACAATTAGGGCAACTGAGTATTTTCTTCCTTAATGCAGGAGATGAGAGATCAAAATTTATTGTATTAGAGTAGTAACATTAGTGAAGGTTATATTAGTATACAATGCATAATTCACCTTGACACAATTGAGAGCTTTACTTAAAAGTAGGTGAAACTCAATGGTTTTTTGTAACTTTACCTTGATACTTGAGTTTTCTTTCAGGTGAGTGTACAAGAATTACAGAAAATTCGAAACAAATGAAATTTTATGTAATGTATAATTTACTAACTCCACCAACCTGTCTTGCTTTCCCAATCAACTTAACTCTTTTTAATAATACTATATAATTCCTACACACAAATAAAAGGAAAAAACTACTTACTGGAAAGGACCGTTGTAAGAAAAATGTAGTCTGAAAAGGATATGAGCCCACATTCTCCAAGGGTGTAAAATATACTGCCTTCATCAGCAAATTTTTCTCGTTCCTGGGAAATTTTCTGTTAAATGTATGGGTTCCACCAAAAGATAAAAAAAGATATAATCAGATTAGAATATAAATAATAAGCAATAATCACTATTTAACTCATAATTTTATGCTATTTATCCTAAGCATTTCTGATGGCCATTCCAAAAAAAAAAAAAAAAAATCAATGGATCCTTTACAGTTTTCAGCACAAAAATTCCAAGACAAAAAGTTGTTTTTTTTTCATTTAAACACCTAGATAATTTTAATTTTATAGTCCCCTGGCATTGACCAACTTCATAACTGGTTTTCTTAGTTTAAAAAATAATTTACCTTATTCTATAAATGTATGTAAGGCATAAATCAAATGCAGAAGAGTAAAAGAAGTTAGAGCTAATTGCTCAAGAAAAACTATACCGCCCATATAGAAACTTTCCAAGACCCACACAAATGCTCAGAAAACTAATTTCTGAAATACTAATTTAAATTTTAACTTTATAAATCCATGAATCTTACTTTTGGGAATACAGAATAGTAGGTAAAGTATATGTCATCTCTGAAATATAATGCCAAGTTAGACATGCATGCCAAGGTTTAGGCACGATTTAGTTCAATCATATTTACCATTAACCTTATTAGAGTCTCCTAGATTTTAGCTATTTGATGAAACGGTCTCTCAAAACTTAGCTTTTACTCTAAATACATATTTCTTTTCTTCAATCTATAAATCATGAAGAGAATTAAATCTTAGCTTCAGGAATAGCTCGTCTCACAAGTGGTCTCTTCTTGGATGTTTAACCAAACTTACCCTGTTTTTTAACCAAAGCATAAGCCTAGTGATAACACTGAAGATATTTTCAAAAACTGAAAAGGATCCACCAAAGTTACACTTGGAACACATTTCCATAAGTTCTGGACCAACCAAAGATACTTAAGGAATTATTCCAAGTACCAGAAAAAGAGAAAAAGATTTTAAAATCTCAAACCAACAAAGCGCAAAGTAATAATCCCATGCAAGCACACAATAAGAGGCGGCATTGCAGGCATCATTTCAGGAGGAGTATCATGAAAACTACACCAATAAACACCACCACACCAGCATCCAGGTACACAACCATCCAATGGGTTACCTCTGTCTAGTGGAGATGCCATCATATACCACAAAGGAAAGAAAACTGGTTAACCGATTGAAAACTCAAATACCATGTGAATCATCGTGAAGTCAGTTCTCATGATCTTCTCAATAAACTCATTCCAAACAGCTCCTACTGGATATTTGCTTGTTTGTAAGAAACAACAACCATGGACAGGCAAAAGGCCACATGTGCATGCTAACAAAACAGTACTAGGTGTTGAGTGCAGGAGCTATCTGAGAAAGAGCTCGTCTGGCTTCATTTGTGGTCAACAGAAGACACAGTCCTGCATGATAGCATTTAGAGATTGTTTCTTTGACCTGACAACAAAAATGAACACACGATCCAAAATATCCTATTAACACTAAATCTTAAGCCGCACTTGATTTTTTAAACAAGAGATTTAAAATTTTTACATCAAAAAAGCTACTGCAGGAGAACTAGGGCAGCAGAGCCATTTAGTGAGAAATTAATATTTAAGTTTCTCAAAATAAAGTTACATTTTTATATAACCCAAGATGCTACAAAATAAAGTACATGAATAGGAAAAAATGAGATTAGGCGCTCAAAGGCATACAATAAATGTGTAAAGAATCTGTGTAATTAATAATGTGATAATATGGACAGATTCCGGCACATAATTATAATAAATAATATACTGGAAGGCAGAAGTTGAGAAATGACAAAAGTCTACTGATAGAGTGAAATGGGACAGTTGAGCTGAAGTCATGAACTTTATGTTACTTTTCAAACAATACCCTGGGCTACACGGCTGCTCCGAAGATAACTAAAAGACAAATCTAACTTTGTTGGTAATTTTAAATTTTTGGCTAACTTCAAACTCACAGAAAAGTTGAAAGATTATGAGAAACTACCACATACTTTTTATTGAAATTTGCTATCATATTACCCCACTTGCTTTATTGTTTTATAGATACATTTTTTGTACCACTACTACAAAAATACATTTGAGACATCATGCTATCTTACAATTAAATAGTCCTGTGAACAAAGACACTCCCTTACCACAATATACATGTAATTAAACCAGGAAATGTAATATTGATACACATGCTATTATCTAATGCAATTTTCACATTTAGCCAGCTGTCCCAATAATTTCCTTTATAGTTATTTTCCTCAGGATGTATTAAAAATAAACTCCATTTAGTCATCATATATCTTTAGTCTCCATTAATTTGAAGTAGCCTATTGGGGCTCATTGTTTTCCTTTTGAAGTTTATTATGTGCAAGTGTAGTATACTTCACATAAAATTTACCATTTGCAAAATTTAACAAATGTAGGTGTTTTTGTGTCTGGCTTCTAACATTTAATGTTTTATGGATTCACCCATGAAGCATGAATAAGTACGTAATTCCTTTTTATTGTCAAACACTATTCCATCATACATATAGACTACAATATGCTTACCCGTTTCATATGATGAAGGATGATTAAGTTATCTCCACTTTTTGGCTTTTGCACATAGTGCTACTAACGGTATGCCCATTCATGTACAAATTAGCATCTGAGTACCTGGTTTCCATTCTTTTCAGAATATATCTAGGAGTGGAATTCTTTGTCATATGGTAGCTCTATATGAGTTTTCAGGAACAGCTGAACTGTTTCCTTCGGTGGCTGTACCAGTTACAGTCCTACAGCAACATAAGAGCTTTCCAATTGCTTCACATCCTTGCTAGCATCAGGTATCTGTTTCCTTTTTAAAATTACAGCCATTCTCATGGGTGGGAGATGGCATCTCACTGTGCCTTATGATGCTGAGCATCTTTTCATGTGCTTGATGGACATCTGAAATGTCTACTCAAGTTCTCAGCCCATTTTTTAATTGATTATCATTTTGTTGCTGACTTGTAAGAGTTCCTGATATAGTCTGGGTACTACAATCTTACCATATATTTGACTCATAAATACTTTTTCTCCATGTGTAATCTTCTCTTTTGACAACATTTTATGACTAAGTCTTTAATATTCGTGAAGTCCAATTTACCTATTTTTCTTTTTTTTCTTTTTTTTTTTTTTTGGTTTTTCTCCGGTACCGGGAACCGAACTCACGACCTTGCGCTTGCCAGGCAGGCGCTCTATTTTTCTTTATGGCTTATGCATTTCACTTTGGGCCCCAAGCCATTGTTGAAGATTCTGTTTTCATCACTGGATGATCTTGGCACGCCTGCTGAAAATCAAGTCATCACTGATGTGTGGGTTAGCTTCCCAAATTCTCAATTTTATCCTCCACCTTTTAAAAATTTTTTTTTAATTGGGTAAAATTCATATAAACTTTTCTACTGTAACCATTTGAAAGTGTAACTGTTCTTAAGCTCTGTTTATTTTTCTTCATTCTTTTTTTCCTCCTGCTCCAGTCTGGAGAATATCAACTCATCTGACCTGTTTGAGTTCACTGACACTCTCCTGTTCACTCTAATCTGCTGATGGAATCTCACTACTTTTTTTTTCTTTTTTTTTTTTTTTTTTTTTTTTTTTTTTTTTGGTTTTTCTCCGGTACCGGGAACCGAACTCACAACCTTGCGCTTGCCAGGCAGGCGCTTTTGCCACTGAGCTAAATCCCCAGCCCCTACTTTTTTTTTCTTTACCCCAGCTACTGTACTTCACAGTTCTGGAATTTCTACTTGGTGTCCTTTTACAATTTCTGTGTCTTTATTGGTAGTCTCTATGAGTTCATAATTCTCCCTGTTTCTTTCAGCTATTTGACAATACTTAGGATAGCTGACTTAGTATCTCTTAGTACATTTAACGTCTGTGCTTCCTCAAGGATATTTCCTATCTATTTTTTGCTTTTCTGTGACTAGGTCATTCTTTATTGCTTTTGTGCATGCATTGTTTCATGTTGAAAACTGTCCCCACCTCCACCCCCAGTACTGGGAAGTGAATGTAGGGCCCTGTACTACTGAGCTACATCCCCAGCCCTTTGGGTTGTTTATTTTACTTTTGAGATAGGGTCTCACTAAGTTGCCAGGGCCGGCCTCAAATATGCAGTTTTCCTGCCTTGGTCTCTCAAGTCCTGTAACTGGAATCATACGTGTGGCAGCCATGGCCAACTGAAAATTGGGCATTTTATATATTATTATGTGGTAACTCTGGAAATTGGATTCTCACCCTTTTGTTGCTGCTTATCATGGGTTGTAGTTGTTAGTTTATTGACTCTTCTACACTCTTTTTATAATGACTACATTCTTTGTCATGCCTGAGCTCCTGTTCTGTTACCCTAGCCATCAGCAAGGAACTGGACAGACTGTCTTAAATGCTTCACACCAAAGAGGGAGAAAGAATCTCTGGGTCTTTTCAGAGTGGCTTTCTACTGAACAGTTCTTTAGTACTTGGCCAGATCATTTAAAACTTTGTCTAAACCTTAGATTCCTGCTTGCATGGGGCCTAAGAGTCAGGAATAAAGGAAAGCTTAGAGTCCTCTAAGGTTTCAGCAGAGCATTCATTCAGCCTGGGAGTTATGGTTTATGCCTAGATGCCTGCCCCCCGCAAGCCTCATGTATTTTAAATGTGGCTTTTTCAGAGGTTTGTGATTGATTTATGGTTTAATGCTGGGATTAAGGGTGGGTGATTGCTGGATCAGTCCACTGATTGGATTGGCGCTGCCCTAATCCCAGCAGTCTGGATAAGATAAAAGGGGCTTGTTTCCCCTTCCTTTCTTGTTGCTTTTGGTGTCTTCTATCACCATGAACTGTTGCCCATGTGCCATGTGCCACCCTGCCTTGGAGCCAGCTGATTACAGACTGAAGCCCCCACACTCTGTGAGCTACATAAACTTCTTCCCCTCTTTAACTTTGAGTGTTGGGTATTTTGTCCCAGCAATGAGAAAAGTAAGACACCTGGGCTGTCTAGATTTCAAAGTACATGGTAGAACATTTCAAAACCTTCACGCTCTCGTATTCCCTCACACAGCCTCTCTCTTCTCAGACTTCTAGTTTGTTAACCATTCCAGATTGCTATAGCTAGTATATTTATCTTTGAATGGTTCTGACAAATGATGCACAGCCCTCCAAGCTTTGAGGGAGCCAAACTACAGCAAGTCTTCGACTGGTTACTTAGGGAGCCACCAGACATCCACAGCACTTCAAGAACAAGGTTTGCACTGCTCCTCTGGCACCAGCAAAGTATACTACGAACATGGGCCTTTTACAGCTGCCACCATGCTGGAAAGTAGGGGATGGTCATCAAGTAAATTAAAATACAGTGTTTTCTCAACAAATTTCAGCAGCTTGTTTCTTCTTAAAGCATTTCCCCTAGTTGTTTTAAAGTTTTGGTTAGATCTGAAAAAGTGGATTGACAGTTTTTGCAGCTTAATCACTGGTTTAATACACAGATGTAGTTTTGGAGCACCCTACTCTGCTATTTTTGCGTTTGGTCTCTACTTTTTGTTTTGTTTTGTTTTGGAGACAGGGTACTGCTGTGCAGGGCCAGATTATCCTTGAACTTGCACTCCTGCCTCAGCTTCCTAAGCACACTTTGTACTTTTTATCTTGACAATTAAAAAAATGTTGAGTTACATTGTAGAATATCCCTCATTTTTAATTATGCTGATACTTACTACAACTACATTCACATATATCTACCAAAACTATAAATTCACTTTGATACCTCTATCTACATTCTAGGGTACAACTTGCTCTTTACCCCTTAAATACTCATTACCCTCTTCTCCAACAATGAGAAAGGTGGTTCCTGTTATCTTCAGCATATTTACTTATTTGCTTAAACTCAGAGTACATAAGAAGTGGTTTCCACATTCATACCTCTGAGAAAGAAAATACACAATCTGGAATTCATTATCTATTACCATTGCAAGTAAAATCTATACATCACAAAATGTACAAGTCAATGTACAGTCCAATGAATTTTGACATACCTACACCTGAATGATCCATGTCCTGATTAAGATATAGAACATTTCTGTCACTCCTCATGGCTCCTCCATGCCTTATACAGTTAATTTCCACCATGTTTTCTCACC